GAAAGAGGTATTTGAAAATGTTTGGATATGAATACAACTTGGAGTCGTTTTTTAATTTTTGAGTGATTTGATGTGAAAATTTTGAAAAATAACTTTATATAGTTTTTCAAATTCTGAAAATTTTTGAAATTCAATTCAATTGAAATTTAAAATTTTCATGGCCAAACTCTGATTTCGGAAAAAGGTGAATTTTGTTTATTGCCAAACGAACCATGTTTTAATTTTCACAATTGATGCAGCAATGAAATTGGATAACGAGATTAAAGTACACGTTGACGGACGTGGCAGATACAATGGCGTTGGTGGTGATGGATATCATGGTGGTGGTCGCGGCCGTGTTGTTTGTCGTCGTCGATATAGACGTAGAGTATGCCGCTATGGTTGTTGCAGGAAATGTTACGATGGTTGCAAAAGGTGTTGTTCCTACGTAGGTGAGGCCATAGATAAAGTCACTGAAGCCCAACCTCACAACTGATTATTATGTGTATATATAAAGAGTTTAAGTTATATATGCCGTTAGTGTATATAACTTATACGTTGTGACAAGATGTAATAATCTTGCTAATTTAGACCTTGCTTGTAACAAGTTTGAATAAAGACATTCGATTCTTATGGATGGTTGGTCATGTAATGTTTTGTTGTACAATATATTGTGATAATATGTTTCCACATTGTTTATTTTCTTCTTATTTTAGAGTAAAAGTTTTCTTTCTATTTTACGAATTCTACAATTATTTTTTAATCCATGCTCGCGAATTCACAATCCAAGCAGAGATGGAACTAGAATATAGCTTATAGGTTCTCACCGAACCCAATAATTTTGTTCTAAATTTTGTATTTGTTTTAAAAATTTTATTAAATATATACAAACTACTAAGATAAACAAATAACTTAAAGGGACTAAAAACTCGATGGCGCATTCATATTATTTGCAGTTTCTTCGAGAAAATCTATCAAATTGAGCAACAAAAGTTTCATGTACTTCAATTAGTGTCTATTCCTGAAACTTTTCTCCAAGTTGTCATTGTATTGTAATATATACATTTCTCCCTTCTGGTTTGAGATAACTGTCACACTCCTTATTTCAATTTTTCTATTGCAAAACTAAATTAGAATGGTAAAACTTACGTGATTTCCTAAATTGAGTTTTATCCTCGTGAAAGCTAACATCTCTTTCTCGACATGAGAACTTTACTTGGGTGCTGTCAAATGGGATTAGGCTAAATTTTGGGTAATTAACCACGTTGAGTTTGATTGGCTGAATCAAAATGGGTTAAATAATGGAAAATTAACTTAAATAGTTGTCCGTTTAAAAAAAAAACAACAAATATATATATTATATATAGTTAGGCTATAACATATGAGTGTTGGCTAGGGATCCACTACCAGAAAATGGGCTATTGGAACGGATGTTTTTGTAACGGTTCAGAAACCGTTCCTACAGATCTGTTATTGGAACGGTTCTAACCGTTGCTAAATTACTGTAACGATCCGACCGGTCGTTTTGAGTATCACAACCATGTTTTCCCATTTACTGCTCAAATTGTACTTTACAATTGTTGTATAAATTGCTGGGGTAAATGGTTCGGGTCCGGTGAGGTTTGGAATGAATTGGAATACTTAGTTCCAAGGTTTAAAGCTTAAGTTAAAATAGTGACCGGATGTCGACTTATGAGTAAACGACCCTGGAATGGAGTTTTGATGGTTCCAATAGCTCCGTATGGTTATTTTTGGCTTAGGCGCGCATCCGAAAAATTATTTGGAGTTCCGTAGTGGAATTAGGCTTGAAATGCCGAAAGTTGAATTTTTTTGAAGTTTGACCGGGGGGTTGACTTTTTGATATCATGGTCGGAATACGATTCTGGAAATTGGAATAGGTCTGTAATGTGAAATGTGACTTGTGTGCAAAATTTGAAGTCATTCCGAATTGATTTGAGGTATTTTGTCACAAGATGTAGAATTTGAAAGTTCAAAGTTCGTTGATTTTGAATTGAGGTGTAATTCGTCGTTTCGATGTTAGGTGTAATTTAAGGCCTCGAGAATGTCCGTGTTATGTTATGGGACTTGTTGGTATGTTCAGACGGGTTCCCGAGGGGCTCGGGTGAGTTTCAGATGGTTAACAGATCAAATCCAACTTGAAACATTTCTAGAACCGCTGCTTACTGGTGTGATCGCACCTGCAAAGTTTTTAATCGCAGGTGCGAAGCCACATGTGCGCGAAATCAGTCGCAGAAGCGACCAAGTGTGAACTGGGAAGTGCTTGCAGGTACGAGGAATTTGCGGCATCTGCGAGGCCGCAGGTGCGAAGGGGAATGCGCATCTGCGAGCCCGCAGATGCGAGAAAGACGCCGCAGATGCGAGATTTAAGAAGGCCGGCTGTTTCCGCAGGCGCGCAATTTTGTCCGCAAATGCGGAAGTCGCTGGGACAGAAGCTTAAATTCGGGGTTTCGTGATTTTTACCCATTTTCTATTTTGGAGCTTGGTTTGGGCGATATTGTAGAGGAATTTTTCCACACAACTTGGGGGTAAGTGTTCTTAACTCCCTTGTAGTTATATTGCATGAATTAATCTTCATTTTTGATGTGAGATTATAGAATCTTCAAGAGAAATAGAAGGAAATTTCTATAATGTCACAAAATGAATTTTCCGAGTTTGAATACCGATTTGAAGTCATATTTGATTGAAATTAGTATGGTTGAACTTGTAATTGGATGGGTTGTCGTATTTTGTGAGTTTCGTCGGATTCCGAGACGTGGGCCCCACAAGTAATTTTTGGGGCGCAATTTCGGATTTTTGAAAAAGTATTAGTATTTTGATATGGAATTAATTTCTATAAATTTTGTGGACTGAATTAAATTAATTATGACAAGATTCGAGCCGTTCGGGAGTGGATACGCACATAGTGGGATTTCTGAAATATTGTTTAGCTTGCTCGACATTGAATTTGTCTTGTTCGAGGTAAGTAACTCTTCTAATCTTAGAGTTGAGGGTATGAACCCTGAATATATGTATTTCATGAATTTGTTGGGAGGTGACGCACATGCTAGGTGACGGGCGTGTGGGCGTGCACTATAAAAATTATAACATAATTGTTTCTGTCGAATTTTGTAGTTGAATAATCTTGGCATTTTTCATGCGATTTTATGTGTTAAAGAAATTGAGCTGAAAAGTATATTAAAAATTATGTTGAGGCTATGTGCCAGTATTTTTGGGACCCGGAGAGGTCATATTGCTGTGAATTATTTGTTTTAAATTGAAAAATCATATTCAGTCATATTCATTTCATTACATATCATATCTCAATCTCTGTTGTTATTTATTGATACATCATATCATCATTTTTGGGTTATTCTCATGAGATTGTGAGCCCATGAGAGAGAGACTAGAGAGATTGATGACCGAGGGAGGCCGATGGCCTGATTGTGAGGATATTTTTGGGATCGGACTGCACACCGCAACAGGCCATGTTGGCTTTATATATATTATTACTATTATGTGAATCGGGACTGCCTGCCTGCAGCAGGCCTTATTGGCTTATTATGGCACGTGAGTTGTCTGTGCGGATTCTGATATGATATTATAGCATGTGAGTTGTCCATGCAACACGTGAATTGTCAGTGCAGATTATAGCGCTTGGGCTGTAGGAGCCCCTCCGAAGTCTGTACACACCCCAGTGAGTGCAGGTACCTACTGAGTGCGAGTGTCGAGTGCTGAGTGACTGGGAGGCATGAGTGATTGTGAGGTATGCTCGATGGGCTGTTTACGAGTGATTGTGAGGTATGCTTGAGGGGGTGTTTTACTAGTGATTGTGAGATAAGCTCGAGGGGCTGTATAAGAGTGATTGTAAGGTCTGCCCAAGGGGCTGTTTATGATTTTATCACTGAGTTGCATCGCATTGGCATGCACACATGACATACAAGCATAGATATATATTTTTCTCATGCTGTACAGCATCACATCATTCATAATTTCTCACACATTTTAACAGATGGGCATAGTGATGCATTTGTTTTTACACGGGTTGTCTGGAAGAAAAATGAAACATCTCATTTATTATTGAAAAGATTTTTGGGAAAAAAATTTATTGTTTTCAAACTTATTCATATTTTCGGCAACTTCGGTAAATGATTTGGGTTTTTACTAATGTACTTGAAAGGAAGAACTATTATTTTTTGAAATCATGATTTGGTTGAGCATTTTGTCTCTGAGTTACTTCTGGTATTATTTTCTTTACGTTGTTATGGATTGTTGTGGACTATTGATTTTGGACCCGACCTTGGTAAACTCGTCACTACTTTCAACCTAAGGTTAGGTTTGTTACTTACTCAGTACATGTGGTCAGTTGTACATATACTACATTTCTGCACATTGCGTGCAGCTATTGGCTATTGTTGTTGCTTTGCTCGATGGTTGCCGGATTTGAAGATGTACTTGCGTTCCTGTTGTAGCTGCCTCTTGTTCATGATAACCTTAGATTTATAAAAGCTCTGTTCATGTACTATTCAAACAGACTATGTATTTATTTCATTTCCACTTTGTAAACTCTATTCTTAGAAGCTCATGATTTGTACAACCAGTTCTTGGGGAATGTATAAGATTAAGATCTTTATTTACTTAAATTACTTTAATAATGGTTATTCAAATTGGATAATTGAAAGTTGGCTTACCTAACGGGTTGGGTTAAGTGCCATCACGACTAGTTGGATTTTGGATCGTGACAATTACATGGGTGATATTAGCACACTTTGGCTATAAAACCGTTGCCATTAATTAGAAACCGTTCCCACAAGGTTTTATTTTTTGCCACGCTTATGCTAACCGTGCCAATAAATATATCTGTTGCCACGGATCTTGAAAAAAATGCTATGGGAACGGTTGTTATTTCCCTCCTAAAATTTTGTAAAACTCGCGCTAGAACCCCTATTTTTACATAAATTTCTTTTTGTCTTATTTAATGGAGTAGTTATGAAATATAAGTTTAATTTCTATACCTAATAAAATTAAAAACAACTAAAGGCTATCGAAAGGCCATCTCTCTCAGAAGGGACTTCACCCAGAACGACGACTCTGTAACAACCATTGAAAGGCATCCATCGACCGCCGACTCTGCCACCATCCCGCCGTCAACCTCCGCAGTAGAACCTCCGACTCTGTAACAGCTACGGCCGTCAACAACCACCTCCTTCTACGGCCGTCAACAACAACCACCATCCCGCCGTCAACAAAATCGTTCCAGCTCTTCGACTAGTTCCGAGATTTGATTTTCTTTTTTCTTCAACCATAAACTTTATCTCCTCCACCCGAAACAACCACCTCCTTCTATTAATCCAAGCTCCACATTTTCAAATAGTCCCAAAATTTTAGGGTTTTTTTCTCGACTAAGCTCGACCACCTCTTTTTGCAATTTCTCAATAGTTGAGCCATAATTTGCAGATTCCATTAGTGAGGAAGAAATTGCAACTGATAGCTGTGGGATAAATCGCGATAAGTTTTTTTAATCTCTTTTTAATTTAAATTTTAGATAACCACATTCGATAGTTGTGTTTTTGAATGAAGATTTTAGTATTAATGTTCGTTATTATCCGATTCAACTGATTTTTATTTTTGGGAGTATTTGAGCGACATAGTGTGATTGAATGGAGATTAAACACACTGGTGCATGTCTTCTTATTGTGCTTGAAATTGTGAATTTCATTGAAATTATGCTTTACGTTGGTACAATTGATAGGTTTTGATTCTATATTTTGTTAGATATGTCACTGTTTGATTCAGTTGTCTTTGTTAAAAAACATTTTCTTGTTCAACTTAACAGCTTTAAAGCTGTGAGTTTTTTCTACTGAAGCTTTTAATCTAAGTTAGAGTTCTATTAGGATTTTGTTGTACTATAATTTCTCCCTTTTTGTTCTTGATATCTATGAGTTCTTAGCATATATGTGACCTTACTTAGCACAGTTTAATATCTTTTCATTATATACTGAAGTCAAAAGGTGAGCAAAAACCTGAATATGCTTGCTTGTTACAAGTAGATATCCATGTCCCTTATTTTGCCACGCTAATGATTTTTCTCATGGTTAGCAACCATAAGCCAGAAACTAAAGGATATAGTTTCTCATTGCTGGTTGCAGGCTAATGATAGTATTAAATAGTTGTTTCTGTGTTTGTTGTTGTAACTTAGCTTCAATTGATATGTTACAATGCTGTTTGAATAAGTCGTGTTAACTAGAAAATGGTAAGGGCTTTCAATCGCGAAACCTTTTCTGATATAATGTTGACTTGGAATTTGCTAAGGAGCAGATATATGCTGCTGCAACTTTCTTTTCTTTCAGAACACTCTGAACTCATAGCTGATATGATTTCTTATTGTCGAAGTCACCATTAAAATTGTATACACAAAGTGATACATATCTCTACGTAGGCTAAACTGATCATATGTTTTCTTCTCAATGTGGCAATACTAACACTATTTAGAAATCATGAGCTTCTTGATCAGTTTTAGATTCCATCCGGAGTTTTGTAGGCGAATTGTGGTTATTTATATTACATGAACTCAGTTATAGGTGAATATCTGATATAAGCACATCTAATTGCTATCTTGTACATCAAAGTAAATAAAGAGTCCATGTAATCAGGTGGCTATTTAGGTTTTCACATTATACTTAATTTCAGCCTAATTTACTTCAAGACATAGACTAGCCATCTTTCATCTGTCTGCAATTCGACGAATAACAGGATCTTTGTGAAATTGGTGAGAAGGGCAATGCATCTTTGGCACCTAATGACCAGTAGGATACTCCTCCATCCGGCACCTAATATTAGCTTGTGTTATATAAGAAATCAGTGGTGCTCTTGCAGCATAGTGGTAACATGTATATTTAGGCTTTACAGGTATCATGCATTTCCAGAGTTGTACATAGTTGGATCTTCTTCAGATGCTAATGATGAGAGGATGCAACAGAAAATGGAGGAAATGGAAGAGAGGATGCAACAAAGAATACAGGAAAAGTTGAACGAACAAATGTTATACATCTTCTTCTTCTCCTTCCTTGTGCTGCTTCTTCTACTACTTCTCTCTTTCTCTCTCTCGCAAAGTCTGAATAGTCTAGTAATTTTTTTACTTTGCCTATGGCACTTAGTCACTGCGTAATTCTGTGGTTGCCTAGCTAGTGTCATTACTATGATGCATATTCTGTGAGAACTTGAAGGTTTAGTGGGTGAATCATTCTGACACTGAAAGTTGATCTTTCGACTGAAATAGTTATGTTTTGAATGTTGGTTAAGTTGGATTGTTTTATTGATACAAAAAATTCAAAAATAATTTTACTACTACGTTATTTTCATAAGTACTTGGATAACTATTTAAGTAATTAACTCATTTTATTGCATGACAAAGAATAAAAATCTGAAACAAAAATCAATATTGAGTATACCAAAGTACTAATGCTCTTTCACTGAGAATAATCTCATCTCAAACGTATACCAAAGTACACATTATGCTTGTATACTATTCCTTCAGAAGAAAAAAAAGGTTCAGTGTTTTACACCTGAATCAGTGATTTAGCAGCAGAGCTGCCAAGAATCTCTCCTCTGTTGGAAAAAAATATTGGATTCAAAGTTCTGCCCGCATGATTACATCATTTTGCTTAGGAAATCAAATAAGCTGTCGTATGCCTAAGTTTATTTTCTCTTTACCAATTTCTGCAGCTAGTTATTTACTTCTTTTTTCTATATAGCTTCTTTTGTTGTGCTACAAAATGTTTTCAGGAAGCCAACAAGTGAAATGAATGGTTGTAAAACAAAATAGATAGCGAGATTCAGAGGTGAATACTTGAAAATCTAATTAAGAAGTGACAGGAAGATAGTTTAACTATTTCATTATGCTAATATTCTATTTCTCTTTTAAATTCTTTCTGGAGATGGATTAGTAAATTTTGCTAGTTCCAAAGTCATACAAGAAAACAAGTTTAAAGCAAAGTAAAAAATGGAGGAAAGAAATGCATGTTACCTAAGTTATTGTATGTAAGATATTAGCTAGAGATCTGGGATTTACTTGAAAACAGGTTGCTTGGTAGTTCTGGGATTTACTTGAAAACAGGCCACTTTAGTTATAATAGGTTGCAACCTGTGCAAGGTTTCAAATATTAGCAAGGAGCACTACTTTATTTTGGTTTTTCATTAGCTGATTCTCTTGAAGGGTAATGACTTTATTTATCCTTTTTGTAGGTGGAGTAGATCAAGAAATGAATGATGAAGGCAATGAAGAACTAGACCTTGAGATGAATTTTGAATTGCTATAGATGAATGTTCTAGGAATCTTTTGTTATCAACATTTTTTAAAGTTACTCTCTTGAAATGTACTAAACTTATGCACTTGGGGTAGAACATTTGCTTTATGGATATTATTTGCTTGATGGATAATTTATATTATTAATAGTTTCATTTTATGATTTTGTATACGGTCGAAATAGATTTCGGCTTTCGTACGATTGATCAAGTTCGAAACATAATCGATCGAAGTAAGACTTCGAGATAGGTTCCGAAGATGGTACAAACAAGCTTCGAGCTCAAGTCAAGATCGAGAGCTCCAGTCAATTCAAGGGTCCGAGTCAGAATCAATTCAAGGGTCCGAGTCAGAATCGAGCTCAAGTCAAGATCGAGAGCTCGAGTCAAGACCGAAAACTCGAGTCAATATCGGGCTTATAGACAAGAGCCGTTGCAATCCCACTAGAGGAGAGAATCTTGGTAGGAATTGTGGAAAAGCTGATTTATCATGGGTCTCCCACTATATATTTTTAATTATATCTAAAGTAAGATCCCTCTACTATAAATGAGATGATTATCATTTCTGTAGAGGTCAAGTTTTTGCTAACATTGTAATTCAAGTACCATATTCTCCTATAGTGAAGAGTTGTGACGAGTTGTTCTTTCAAACTTCTTAATTTGATTTCACTTGTTTAGTTTTATTCCTTACAACCTTGTCTATTTTGCATTCTTTGCAATCTATACTTATATTTCTATTTACCCTTACGATTTGTATTAAGCTACACCACATATCCTTAGAACTACGTACAAATTCAACTCTATCCGTTTTTCGGGTAAATAGTACCGTGGGACTAAGGATAACAGTGGTTATTTGATACGAATCTGCAAAAACACACCGTTATGTTTTGCGCTTGTTTCCGAAAATATCTTGAATTTCGGATTAGCAACGACTAACTACCAGTCAAATGGCCACACCAATCGACAACGAAGCCGGTCTTCAAGATGAGAATAATAACTTGACACCCAGTACCGAAAGACCAGTTGTCAATGCCATTGGAGCTCGAATCGGAGCATTGATAGATATCAATTCGCATGTGGCCATTGAGGCGAACCTACATAATAACATTCATGGTGGCACTCGGTCTACAGCTCGAGATACCCATAACGTCGAGGAAAACGACGTCAGCTTGCGTATGATTTTCGAAATGTTGCAAGCTCAACATGCAGCAATAGCTCAGTTGCAGAGCCAAACCCAGCTACAAAGCATGCCGGATCCCAGTCCACCTCGAGAAATCACCCACAGAACGGAGCCAGCCATAGTGAAGTCAAATGAGCAAGAATCAGGAACTACTCCCGAAATTGCTAAATCGCTCGAGGAACTCACAAAGCGAGTCGAAGCCAACGATAAAAAAGTAGAAACATATAACTCCAGGGTCGATCAGATCCCGGGAGCTCCACCAATGATAAAAGGGTTGGATTCAAAACAATTCGTGCAAAAACCTTTCCCCTCGAGTGCAGCCCCAAAACCAATCCCCAAATAATTTCGTATGCCCGAAATTCCCAAATATAACGGAACGACCGATCCCAACGATCACGTCATTTCTTACACACGTGCCATCAAGGGAAATGATTTAGAAGACGATGAAATTGAATTTGTGTTGTTAAAAAAATTCGGAGAGACCCTCTCGAAGGGAGCAATAATTTGGTATCACAACCTACCACCAAATTTCATCGACTCATTCGCCATGTTTGCAGATTTGTTTTGTGAAAGCACATGCCGACGCCATAAAAGTCGCAACAAGGAAATCAGACCTCTTCAAGGTTTAGACAAAAGGATAACGAGATGCTGAGGGAGTTCGTATCTCGTTTTCAAATGGAATGAATGGATCTGCCACCAGTTACAGACGATTGGGATGTTGAGGCTTTCACTCAAGGTTTGAACGAACGAAGTTCGACGGCTTCACAGCGGTTAAAGCATAACCTGATAGAATACCCATCCATCACGTGGGCCGACGTGCACAATCGGTACCAATCAAAAATTAGGGTCGAAGATGATCAATTGGGGTCTGAACCCGCTGTTCGAAGGGATATTAATCGAGAACAAGGTCTGATCAGGGATCGATACCGACCGTATAACGGAAACCGCAGAGTTAGTGAATCGAGACATAACCCCGGGCAAAATAACAAAAGAAGTGATCGAGGTCAAGGGTCCCGGGGGCTGATGAACAAAAGTAGGTTCGATAGGCCTGCCGGATCTAAGGAAGCGCCTCGGTTATCGGAATATAACTTCAGCATTAATGCATCTGCCATCGTGTCGGCTATCGGACGCATCAAAGACACTAAATGTCATCGACCCATGTAGACCGATCCTGCCCAGAGTAATCCTAATCAAATGTGCGAATATCATGGCACCCATGGCCACAGAACGGAAAATTGCAGGCAACTAAGAGAGGAAGTAGCCCGGTTATTCAACAAAGGGCACCTTCGAGAATTTTTAAGCGATAGGGCGAAGAACTATTTTAAAAATAGGAATTTCGGCAAGCAAAACGAACAAGAAGAACCACAACACGTCATTCACATGATCATTGGCGGCACCGATACCCCTTAGGGACCGGTGCTTAAACACACTAAGACATCGATTGTGAGAGAAAAGCGATCTTGAACTCAAGATTACACACCCATAGGAACTTTGTCCTTCAATGATGAAGATGCAGAAGTAGTCATATAACCTCATAACGATGCACTGGTAATATCCGTACTCATGAATAAAACTAAAGTTAAGCGTGTGTTGATTGATCCAAGTAGCTCGGCCAACATCATCAGATTAAAGGTCGTAGAACAGGTCAGCCTGCAGGACCAGATCATACCCGCAACCCTGGTTCTAAACGGATTCAATATGGCATGTCAAACAACCAAAGGCGAGATAATTCTACCGATAAACGTGGACGGAACCATCCAGGAAACAAAGTTCCACGTGATCGAAGGCGATATGAGATACAACCTCCTTTTCGGAAGGCCATGGATCTACAACATGAGAGCTGTACCTTCGACCCTACACCAGGTCCTTAAATTCCCAACATCGAGAGGAGTCAAAACAGTGTACGGAGAAAAACCAGCCGCAAGAGAAATGCTCGCCGTCGAGGAAGCGAAACCAATATCCTCGCCTTCGCCAGTGAAGGGATCAGGCTCAGAAGGGGAACGAGATACCAAATAGCAATCACAGACATCGGCTTTGACCCAACCAGATAATCAAAAGATCGAAGAAGATGATGATTAGAGGATCCCTCGATCCTTCGTAATTCCCGATGATTCCGACGCTACCAAATCAACGATTGAGGAACTGGAGCAAGTCACACTAATCGAGCACTGACCCGAATGGAAGGTATACCTGGGAACGGGGTTGAGCCCCAAACTCAGGAAGAAACTTATTTAATTTGTTATCGATAACATTGATTGCTTTTGCCTGGTCCCATTTAGATATAACAGGGATCCCACCGGACATAACAACGCATCGTCTAAGCTTGGACCCTAGGTTCAGACCGGTGAAGCAAAAGAGAATACCCGAGGTAAAGCATGCATTCATAAAGGATGAGGTAACCAAACTTCTCAAGATAGGGTCCATTCGGGAGGTGAAATATCCCGAATGGTTAGCTAATGTAGTTGCAGTGCCTAAAAAAGATAACAAACTTAGAATGTGTGTGGATTATAAGGATTTGAACAAAGCATGTCCCAAAGATTCCTTTCCGCTGCCCAACATCGATCGCATGATCGATGCCACGGCCGGCCATGAGATCCTCACTTTTCTCGATGCCTATTCCGGGTATAATCAAATCCAGATGAACCCGGAGGACTAGGAAAAGACTTCATTTGTCACCAAATATGGAACATATTGTTATAATGTGATGCCCTTCGGGCTAAAAAATACAGGGGCTACTTACCAACGCCTAGTAAATAAAATGTTCGAAGAATAAATAGGAATATCAATGGAAGTTTATATTGATGACATATTAGTTAAGTCCCTGCGCGCAGAGGACCATTTGACTCATTTGCAGGAAACGTTCGAGATTTTAAGGAAATACAACATGAAGCTCAACCCCGAGATATGTGCTTTCGGGCTCGTTTCGGGCAAGTTNGAAAGCTGTACAGAGGCTAACGAGACGGATTGCAACCTTAGGCCGATTCATTTCGAGATCGTCATATCGAAGTCACAAATTTTTCTCTCTACTAAAAAAGAAGAACGGTTTCGCTTGGACCCCGGAATGCCAACAGGCATTAGAGGAACTAAAATGATATCTATCAAGCCCACCACTACTTCATATTCCAAAAATAGACGAAAAACTTTGCTTGTACTTGGCAGTATCGGAAATTGCAGTAAGCGGTGTCCAAGTTCGAGAAGAGCAAGATACGCAATTTCCCATTTATTATATAAGTCGAACCTTAGGAGAAGCAAAAACTAGATATCCGCACTTAGAAAAATTAGCACTTGCACTGATAAATGCCTCTAGAAAGTTAAGACCGTACTTTCAATGTCACCCCATATGCGTATTAACCACTTACCCGCTCCGTAATATTTTGCACAAGCCCGAACTATCAGGCCGATTGGCCAAATGGGCCGTCGAACTCAGTGGGTACGATATCGAATATCAACCCCGTACGACCATCAAGTCTCAAATTTTAGCAGATTTCGTGGCCGATTTCACGCCAACCCTCATACCCGAAGTCGAAAAAGAATTCCTGTTGAAATCGGGTACGTCATCGGGGGTATGGACCCTTTTTATGGACGGGGCTTCGAACGTGAAGGGGTCCGGGCTAGGCATAGTTTTAAAGCCACCCAGGGGTAACACTATTAGGCAATCTATCAAAACTACCAGGTTGACTAACAACGAGGCCGAGTATGAGGCCATGATTGCAGGTCTCGAGCTAGCTAAAAGCTTGGGAGCAGAAGTCATTGAATCCAAGTGTGACTCTTTGCTGGTGGTAAATCAAGTAAACAAAACCTTCGAAGTTCGAGAAGATA